TTCTAGATATACAATCATTGTCTGCAAATAGAGACAATTTGACTTCTTCCTTTCCTATTTGAATACCCTTTATTTCTTTTTCTTGCCTGATTGCTCTGGCTAGAACTTCCAGTACTATATTGAATAGGAGTGGTGAGAGGACATCCTTGTCTAGTGCCAGATTTCAAAGGGAATGCTTGCAGTTTTTGCCCATTCAGTATGATATTGGCTGTTGGTTTGTCGTAAATAGCTTTTATTATTTTGAGATACGTTCCGTCAATACCTAGCTTATTGAGGGTTTTTAGCATAAAGGGCTGTTGAATTTTGTCAAAGGTCTTCTCTGCATCAATTGAGATAATCATGTGGTTTTCGTCTTTGGTTCTGTTTATGTGGTGAATTATGTTTATAGACTTGCGTATGTTGAAGCAGCCTTGCATCCCCGGGATGAATCCTACTTGATCATGGTGAGTAAGCTTTTTGATATGCTGTTGCAATCGGCTTGCCAGTATTTTTTTTGAAGATTTTTGCGTCTATGTTCATCATGAATATTGGGCTGAAGTTTTCTTTTCTTGTTGAGTCTCTGCTGGGTTTTGGTATCAGGATGATGATGGTCTCATAAAATGATTTGGGAATAATTCCCTCTTTTTGTATTGTTTGGAATAGTTTCAGAAGGAATGGTACCAGCTCCTCTTTGTAAGTCTGGTAGAATTCGCCTCTCAACCCCTCTGGACCTCGGCTTTTTTTGGGTGGTAAGCTCTTAATTGCTGCCTCAACTTCAGACCTTGTTATGGGTCTGTTCAGGGTTTTGGCTTCTTCCTGGTTTAGGCTTGGGAGGAGGCAAGTATCCAGGAATTTATCCATTTCTTCCAGGTTTACTAGTTTATGTGCATAGAGTTGTTTGTAGTAATCTCTGATTATGGTTTGAATTTCTGTGGAATCTGTGATGATATCCCCTTTATCGTTTTTTATCGCATCAATTTGGTTATTCTCTCTTTTCTTTTTTATTAATCTGGCTAGTGGTCTGTCTGTTTTGTTGATCTTTTCAAAAAACCAGCTCCTGGATTTGTTGATTTTTTGAAGGGGATTTTGTGTCTCTATCTCCTTCAGTTCTGCTCTGATCTTAGCTATTTCTTGTCTTCTGCTAG